CTGTGCAATAAGTTACTGTGCAGTAAATGCACGTGTAGACATGCCCAATGGTTTCTTTCTCTTTGGGTGCCTCCTGCTGCTAGTGCTCTCCTCCACTGTGCCTAATGTTGCTGTTAGAGTCTCAGACACCACGTTTGAGGGTCTTGTCCTGGCTCTACTGTATTGCAAACTTTTGTAGGGCTGGTTGTTGCATCTGCCTTCTGACTGTCTCATCATTGTCCTTTGGCAAGAGGCATCCTGCGCTCTTTCTGTTTTCCCCAAGTCAGAAACACTAGGTCTCTTCAAGAGATACATTTTGAAGAACTTGCTTAAGCCATCATTGCTCCCATGGCCAAGAACAACTTATATGTGGTGAGTCTTACCTATCAGCTAGGCCATAGACTGAAGAAGGGGCCAAAATTATAGGATCCCTGTTGGCCAAGTAAAGCTTGTGTGGCTGCTTCCATCCTCTAAGAGGGATGTCCACAACATTGTGAAACATCTGTTTTGGGCTCAACAGATCACCACCAAGTGGGGCTTTGTCACCTGCCAAGCCACAGACAGAAACTGCAGCCCTGAAAAAACATTTTCAGGTTCTGTACCTACACAAATTAAGGCGCAACTATGGGAAGAGGGATTTTCAAAGCATAAAAAGAAATTGGTAACTTAACTAACTCTCAGGTAACTAACTCTCATTTGTGCCTTTGAATATCAACCCTGGCCATTGTAATCCTGTATCTTTACAGTCATCTGTAATCTCCTCTGGGAGGTCAGGATGACATCTTTCTCTCTCCAGCATATACTGTATTTAACAGTTCTCTGGTAGCCTTTTCCCCATTCAGAGGCAAGAGTCACGGGCCATTTCTGGTAGTGGGATATTGGACAGACTATAGCAGTGGTCTGGCATAGTGGCACAGTAAATTCTGTTGTGGAAGTTCCTCTGACAGGTGGCTCAGGATCTCACTCACCAACCCGGGCTCTCCTTCTGCTCTGGCTGACTCTGACGTACCCTCAGGGGCCACATGTTGAAACTGGTCCTTGGGACGGTCTCCTTGTTCCAGCATCTGCCTCTTGGCCTGCTCTGTCTCAGGAGCATGGGGATTTTCCAGCAGTCCATGTAGCTCATTCTCCAACTACAGAACAGCTGGTAGCATGAATCCAGAGTCCAAGCCCCAGCTAGCTCTCTACTTTTCTAGAGAAACCAAGGCTTCAGGAGCAAGTCCAGATCTCAGAGCTTTGCTGCTGGCTTTCAGACTGTGTTTCTATGCTATACTGCTATTCAACTAAACCCATCTTGCATCACAAAGATTTTCTTTCCACTAACTTGCTCATTTGATGAACCTCTGCCCTTTGTATTTGGGAGATGGATAAATCAGGACCCACACACATAGTTCTGCTAATGGAAAGGAGCAGCGTACATGCTGGTCATCATCAGCCTTGAAATCACTTTAGCTTAGAAAAGAAACCACATAGTCTATTATTTCCCTCATCCATCTTTTTTAAACTAAGGGCATGGGATAGTTGTAACAGAATACCATGCTCCTTACTATATGGTAAGTAGGCATGGCTGGCATTGCAATATGGCAGCTTCCTGCTGCCAGTTTCTATGCATTTATTTTATTTCTTTCCAAATGCCACAGCCTTTCCAATATTTCTATGGTGGGTGACAGAATGCAAAGGAACCTCCCTGGGCCTCTCAAAATCAATGGGGTTAGAGCAGGGAAGAATTTGATCCATTTTTCTTTAACTCTTTCTAAAATTTGCTGTCATTTCTCCTGTAGTGGTAGCCACTCCAGCTTCTCTGCCTGATGGCTTTGCAGACTACAAAAAAACTCTGCCTCTGGTTTTATTGTCTTTTAGTCTGTGCCAACAAAACAGCCTCAAGTGTGCTATAAAAAAGGATTGAGTTATGCCTTTATAACACAAATAAAACCTGAGCTGCAAGTCTGGCATGGAGAGGCCAGGAGAAAACTTGTATCATGCTGCCTCCTTTACAACTCAGCCTACTGAAGAGCACAGCCCAGACAAAACAGACCATGTGATACAAGAAACCATCCCCTCCACTTGTACTGGTGCTCAGTGGTCCCTTTGCTGAAGTAACATTGAACTAAGGTCCTCTCAAGTCTAGTGGAGAATGTGTGGAAACTCCAAACTGCTCCAGTGGAAACTTCTGAAATTCATCCACCCCAGAGGAGGACCAGTGACCAGTCCTGCAGAAGTGGTCCTCAAAGCCTCTGTCTGCTTATCATTTCTAATAATCTACCAAAGCTTCCTTCTTTCTGTCATCGTCCTCAGAATGTAACACTGAGGGGCTCCTGACAGTAGGTATTTGGTTTGCAAAAAGGCCTGGCTGTGGATCATCTCCAGAACAAAGAAGCTCAAGAGCCAAGTGTCCTTTCTCAAGTATAATTTGCCTTCACCTACTGGGATATGACTGCCTCTGAAGAATGCAATAAGCTCTTGTAGCAAGATGGCAGATGGAGGTGCAGTCTTTATCACTCATAATGTGACTTCTACTAAAGTCCTAGAAGTTAGTCCCTTTCACACATGCCAGCAAGCCCCTGTGCCCCAAAAGGAGGATAAGCAAGGCCTCTTTCCTGTCTTCTCTTTACCTGACACAGGTAAATGGTGAATTAATTAAAGAGTCTGTGCTCCTCTTCATTGTTGGCTTGCCAAAGTAGCTGTGTCAGTGGGTGTGTCTACACATACATTTAAGTCAGCTTAAAATTACTGAGCAGTAAGCCAGAATAGGTAGGCATCTACATGTGCAAGCATTAAAGCACATTAATGCTGTGTATGGACTGATTTGGGAGTAAAGTTACTCCCAAGTCAGTCCACACACACAGTGTTACT